GGCGCGCGCCCGCGGCCGCCCCGCCTCTGCCAGCCGGGCTGTGCGGGGGTCTCGTTGAGAGCCGACCGGCCCCCCTGCCCCGGCGGGCCGGGCTCAGCTAGACACGAACGGGCACTTGCGCCCGGGGCCCCCCTCGCGCCCGCCGCCTGCCCGGGCCCTTCTCCGGCCGCCTGGCCCCCATCTCCCGGGTCGGAGCCACGCGGCGGAGTGACCCCGGCACCAGAAAAAAAAGTGTTGAGTTGGTTTGGTTTTTTTCCCCCCTTTCTTTCTTTCTTTCTTTCTTTTTTCACACTTCTCGATCCTTTCCCATGAGTTGCCCTCACTTGATGCAGCCCAGAGACCAAACCGGCGCTGACTTGTGTCTGTCCCGACCCAGACACTGCTCTGGAAGAAAAAGAGCAACAACTAATCCCGCTGAACCCCCTGCCCCTCAACTTTCTCCTCCTCCTCGCCTGCCAAGTTGTCTGCCCGCCGCTCTCCATGAAAGCAAGAGGCTGGGTTGATCCCCTGCCTGATTTTCTTCATCAAATCACCCGCAAAAAATAATAATATTATTATTAATAATAATAATAATAATAATACTCTCTCGCCCCCCATTTATATGCTTGATCAAAATCCAGTTCTGCCCTTGAGCTGGGGGGTGGGGGGGGAGACACGCACCTCCCTCCCCGCCCCGCGCGCGCGCACACCCCAAAAATAGCACCTACCGGGCTTGCCACCCCGTGTCTCTGCTGGTGTAACGTGTGCACGCAACACCCCTCCTAAAGCGCTACAGCCAGCCCCGCTCCGCTCCCCGACATGTCCTTCAGAGATGTGAGCGGATCGGAATGGAGAACGGAAAAGATGACATTACCCAACAATTTGGACAATGGGTCGCTCCCTCTTAGGCTCTCTAAATGGGTCTCCCTCCTGTCCCGGCTCGGGGAAGATGCTTAATTGTTTGCCGGGGAAGGGGGGGCGAGAGGGTCGGCGATTGGCTGCCCGCGGCCGTGACGTGAGAGCTCGGTGCATAAGGCTCCGGCTCGGGAGCGGTGGGGAACATGCGGTCCATTGAGGAGCTGCCGGGAGCCGGGAGCGGAGGCACCGCCGCGCACCGCCGCCGCGACACCCCGAGGCTCCAGCCCGTCCCTCCCCCGCGCGGGAGAGCCCGACCCAGCGCTTCTCCCGCCGCCTGCTCCTCGTCCTCCGCCGATGGGATCCTTGGGTCCGGAGCCGCGCTGAAGACTAAAAACCCAGCAAAAAAAAAAAGAAAAAAAAAGCAACCTGCCCCCACCCCCCCAAAAACAAACAAAACCAAACCAGCCCAAAACCAAACCACAGCAAACCCAGTGCCCCGCCAAGCGCACCATGCCCGGCAGCCTGGCCCCTGCGCGGCCCGGGCTGGGACTTGTGACTAGTGGACTAGCCGTGTAGACGGGGGTAGGGGACCCGTCCTGCAGCTGGACACCGTGGCACGACGGACTGCGGCCACCACCGGGGGAGCGGACAGCGGCCTGATCCGGAGCATGAGCATCTCTCTGTCCGTCTAGCACGGAGCTGCCCCGCCCCGGCGGCGGCCAGCCTAGAGCAATGCTGCTAGGTTAGCATCCAAAGCTCCTTTTGAGTCGTCTTCTTTTGTTTTTTTTGTCCTTTTCTTCTTCTTTTCATTCTTCTCGTCGTCGATTTTTTTTTTTTTTTTGGTCCTCCTATTTCTCTTTGGGAAAAGCAGATGCACTTTGACTCCTGACTGCTCTACCTCAGACCTGAGAAAACTCATCACATTTGCTTTTCGCTGGGTTTTCACCATTGTCGCTTTTCGTTTCGCTTTTTTTTCCCTTTTTCCCTCCCCGCTTGTTTTCGCAATGCGCGCAGCCCTCTCCCCCCTGTCCCTGCTCCTGGATCCGTGCTAGCGGCCGGGATCCGGGCTGCAAGGCTGGGCAAACCTCTTATTTTTCCCCCCCCGGTGTGTGGCCCGCTTAGGACATTTGAACGAAGATTATTCTTCCTCCCTATTTTATTATTGTTGTTGTTGTTGTTGTTGTTATTTATTATTATTATTGTTGTTGTTGTTGTTGTTATTCTTTTCCTCCTCCAAGGCTTTTTTTGGAGCAAACCCCGCACGCAGCCAACCTGCTTTTCTTTTTAAAGCAGGATCCATCCTGCTCCTCTCGTTATTATTCTTGCTGCCCCTTCTTCTCTTTCTCTCTCTATTTTATTTTTCCCTGCTTGGCACCTGGGAGCCTCCCCCCGCCCCACTCTCAGAATAACCAAAGACAATGGTGCACTGTGCCGGCTGCAAGAGGCCGATCTTGGACCGGTTTTTGTTGAATGTACTGGACAGGGCTTGGCATGTGAAGTGTGTGCAGTGCTGTGAATGTAAATGCAATTTGACAGAGAAATGCTTTTCCCGGGAAGGCAAGCTTTACTGCAAGAACGACTTCTTTCGGTGAGTACCGGTGTGTCCCCCACTCCAGATCCTCCTGTTTAGTGTCGTTGTCGGTGTGTGTGAGCTCCTGTTCTCTCTCCCGGCCGGGCTTTTCTTGCAGGGCTGGGAGCCGATGGGCTGTCGTTTCCCTTCCCCTTGTCTCTTTCCACTGCCTAAAATAAGTGCCCTTGGGCTCGGCGCTGCTGCTCACGGTGATCTCCGGGCAAGGGGAGAGCCGGTGCCCGCGGCCGCACTTCGGAAAAGTTGAGCGGGGTCGGAGGCAGGGGCAGCGTCCGGCGCCGGCTCCGGGGAAACTCCAGGCGCAAACTTCGCTCCGGCCCCGAGTGGGCCTGATCCCCCGGCGCCGTGCGATCCGGGCACCCCCACCTCCCTGCAGCCGGAGCGGGCCGGGCTGCCTGGGTCCCGCCGGCCCAG